GTACAGTGTGTATGCCTAAGGTGTGTGGATATGCTAATTTGGTGGCGCTGTGAGCCACAAAACACCTCCAATGAAAATGTGCGGATTTTTACCACACACATCAATGTTTCTGTACCTACCGAGGACTCTTGTCAGAAGAACGCGAAAGGGTATTTTATCAAATTTCTTTCGTTTTTAAAGGGTGTTTTTCCGAGGACAGTCAAAACGTCCTCTGAAGTCTCCCTAGGTCCTCGCAATAAAGGTCGTTTGACCATGTAAAGTCCTCGCAACGCACGCACGCACGCACGCACGCACGCCACTTTAAATCATTCTATATGGGATCCCACCAAATAACACTACAATAGTATATGTGCACGTTATTTTAATCTATTGCATTTATCGGTACATATAATGTAACCAACGAGAAAGTGCTATATAACTAAGAATAGCTAGTATTTATTTCATGCATTTCTTTTATGTCGAATATATAGCTTCGTTCAAGTTTCCAGTGGCTTCTTTGGCATCAGTCTAATTCTTCCATAGCTCTGAGCTGTGAATATAAACATAACAGTAATTAATCTATATTCCGAACTGCCGGCATTCATACACAACTACAACAACTGCAAAATAGTTCACAAAGTTTAAATATTCATGAAAGTTCTAGGATTTCGTTTAATTTTAATAACGTCATTAGTATGAGAACATTCGGTATTGATGACCACATAAATATTTGATTGATTATGGTCGGGGAACTTGTTTACTTTAAGAATACTATATTGTATGGATGATCGACCGGCAGAATTAAAGCCCATGTGATTAAAATCGTATGACACTTAATTCAGTCGATTCAAAAGATTAATTTCATTTACATTTCATGGTATATATTAAATTAATGTTCGAATTGATCGATGCAATTGACAATAGATATTAACCCCTAGAACAATAATGTAAGTGTATTTCAAATATGCTGTGCTACCTGGACAGCAGTATCTTGTTTTATAGTCCAAACAGGTGTTATCCGGTTGGTCTACTTTTCTACAAACAAATCCAACGTTGGGGTTGTAATAAAAGAATATTTCACCAGTAGACAATGCTGGAGTACCACCAAGGGTCTGTGCCTCAATCGCGGAAGGAGCAGAACAGATTCTATGCTGGACGTGTTCCGTAGTTTCCCAATCGCCAGTAACGCTAGGGTCATCTCTATCAAACCATTCAGTCCAATGACCATCGTAACACACTGTGTGTATAATTATTAATTGTAAGCGATGAATCTCCCAAGGTGCTTATTATTTAGCAAACTGATTTATTTCTAAACCCAAATATCTCCAATAACAGGCCATGAATGCATACAAAGTCTGGGGGTGGAATTACACATTCACAACACAAGTAGTGAGTTTATGTGATTTGTTCCATTATTATTTATTGTATTTCCGAAAAAAGATATTTGTTATTTTGGTCACTGTGGAAGAGATGTGATGAGCATTAAAAAACTTCTAAAACATTATTTTAACACAGCTGATTATGATGTTTCGATTACAGCGAGAAGTTGTCTACAGATCATTGGAAGCATGGGTAGAACGTACATACATTATTATGGTGCCGGAGAATGGGAGATAGAAAAACTTGTTTATGTTCGGCGGAAAATTGAAAAGGTTTAAATGATACAAAAAGTGCATTTAATACATATAAATGAATTTAATATCTTAATATAAACATTACTGAAATTTCGAATTACTTTTTTATTATACTTATGGTGATTTTTATTTATTTATTCGTTCCGACGACCGTGAAGCGTGGAAGGCTGACACTACTCTAACTCGCCTTCTCGTGTGGGCGATGACAATAACATCGAGACTAGTGGTTAAGGTACACTGTGATCCATGCCGTGGAGCCGTTCGTAATGCAATATAATAATGCTACAAAGTATCACACGAAACCAAACAAAAATCATTCTAACATAACGTACTAATTGTTTCCGGAGTCATTGACCCGAGAGACAAAATGACCATTGCGATAAATATGCAAAATTGAATATTACTAATTGTCGAGCAGGTCCAGATTGTAACATTCGGTTGACGAAAATAATGTCACGATTATACCGACTGGTGCTCGAATTTCACATAAATTGCTTTTTTTTATTATTTAAATTAGTGGTAGTTTATCGCCGCTTTATCAAATAATGTCGGCAGGATTCAGCCCGAAAGTTCAAAATGTTTGCCCATTTAAAAAATATAAAGGTGTCGCTATTCACAACTGCATTTTAAATGTCCTTGGTCAGTCGTACTTCTAAAAAGAATGTCTTTCTTCCGACTGAATGAAGACGATAGAGACGAGCCGATAATAATATTACTACCTTTCTATATGTATTCACTTTAGAGCCCGTCTCGTTTGGAGTTTGTTTTTGGAGGAATATAAAATGAAATCGGTTATCCTGTATTATTACCTGGGCAACAATATCTTGTTTTATAGTCAAGGCAGGTGTTATCTGGTTGGTCTGCTATTTTACAAACAAATCCAACGTCGGGCGAATATTCAGAAAATATTTCACCAGTAGTCATCGCTGGAATACCGTCCAGGGTTTGTGCCTCTATTGCGGAAGGAGCAGAACAGATTTCATGTGAGGCGTCTGCCGTAGTTTCCCAATCACCAGTACCACCAGGGTCATCTCTATCAAACCAGCCAGTCCATTTACCATAATTACACTCTGTGGGTATATACGATTAATCATTATATAAATCATGATGTTATATGTAATGTATTTATAAATTACCAGGGATGAAACTCACAACGCACTTTTGTATTTAGTGAGCAAACGGTACAGATAATCATTTCTAAGTATCTCGACTAGCAGGCCATGAGAACAAATGCAGACAAAGTCTGGAGGCGTGGAATTCCACATTCACAACACAAGTAGTGGGTATATGAAATAGGCATTGGAAAACACCCAACACATTTTCTTAACTGATTAAGATGTTTAGATTAAAGTGTGAGGTTTTCTACAGATTATTGTACCCAAGTGTCGAACCTGCACAATTTAATGTGGTTCCTGTGGATGATAGAATGGGAATTTTTTTTCTTTTTGACGGAATGTTACGATTTTCCAATGAAAAAGTATTTATTACTGACAAATGAATGAATGTAAAATCTGTTACAAACCTCACAGCAATTTCGAATTTCTCTTTATAAAACTCGTAGGAAACTATTGATTCATTTTGACAACTGAACCGCGAATGGTATATATCACTTCAACCTCGCATATTCTCGTGTGTGGACAATAGCGGTAGCTGTCTGAATTACACTATGACCCATGACCCATGACGCGGACGCGGACTTCCTGTTTGTCATGTTGTATTATAATGCTAAACCAACTATCACACAAAACGAAATAAAAATTATTCTACAATGACTTACTAATACAAATTGCCTTTTGGTTTCATTGACCTGAGAGAATTATTTAGGATTAATGGGTTGTTTTATTTTTGCTCATTTAAAAAATACGAACGTTGTCACTATTCAAAACTGCATTTTCACTGTCTTTGGCGTACATCAGAATGATAGATAATGTTGATCGTTAGTATTTCTATAAATGATGTTTTATCAGATCGAATGTATACAATAGCGACGAGCCGAAAATAGTATTTCTAGTTTTTTATATGTATTCACTTTACAGCCAGTTTCGTTTCGTTTGGAATTTGTTTTTGGTGCAAGTTGTGTCATTCTCCACGAAATGAAATAGATTGTCCTGTATTATTACCTGGGCAGCAATATCTTGTTTTATAGTCAAGACAGGTGTTATCTGGTTGGTCTGCCATTTTACAAACAAATCCCACGTCCGGAGAATATTCAGAAAAGATTTCACCAGTAGTCAATGCTGGAATACCGCCCAGAGTTTGCACTTGTATCGCGGAAGGAGCTGCACAGATTTTATTTTGGACGTGTACCGTAGTTTCCCAATCACCGGTGCCACCAGGGTTATCTCTATCAAACCAGCCAGTCCATTTACCGTATTTACACTCTGTGGATATATATGATTAACCATTAAATAAATCATGATTCTGTACATGTTTCAACTTCACCATGAGTAAATCGGGAAGCATTTGTTATACAGTATACATCAGCTGATAGCACAAGACACATTTTATTAGTCGGTTTGCACAGCTCGCACCGGATATTATCAGTACGCACTTTAGTAAGTCTAGGTTCGCAATTAATAATCCAGCAAATCATTGTCTTTAGTTGCTGCTTGTAATAAATTATAGCCTATTTGTTTCATTAAATGGTGTATGTCAATAATTTTATATGGTTATAATCTTTTCATTAAACACCAAGAAAATTCAACTCGACACAAGTCAATAACGTTCATAGGGGACAGGTACGTGTGTATGGGATGTTGCTGTGACTATAACTGTAATTTAAGCTTAAATACCAATGTTTTAACATATATCACTTAATGCATATTTGGCCTACATGTACCTATATAAAAGGGAAAAAATCATTTAATTCTACGGGATTACCGTGTTATTTTTCGGCCGTATGACAGAGGGCGTTTCTAATGGTTATCACCACCACAAATCGGCTCTGTAAAAAAATAGGTATACCTAAACCAACGTGCGATTCTTGTGACACAACCAGAAGTAAACTAGTGCAACAAACTGTTGTGCAAATCTTGCATTAAGAAACAAACTCTTGTGAACAATGGTAAGGACGAAGACAATGGTAAATCCTTTAATGTAATCCTTTAAACCTGTAATAAACAATGCTGGTAAGCCTCGGGCAGAACTGTTATCACCTACTATGCTTCCATCTCTCTCAGCCTTCACAACCGCTACCGCCAACAACTATATCAGCAGACGCGTTAATGCAACTAACAGCAAATAATAAACGATCACAGGAGTTGAATAATAATACAGAGGAAATAAACGAGGAATTCCAACTACAAGTAAATACACCAGAAAGCACCAAGATACGAGATACTAATAGCAGAAAATAGTAGTCATGCTATTGACCAATTAATTCACGGCATCCCTGAAAATGCTAATGAGTACAGGATTGACATAGTACTTAAAGTACAATGGATATTAGCATACAAAGACAAAATGGACATTGTTCGCCGAATAGGCAAAAATAAGGTATCGTCCAATTATCTTTCACTTCGTTGGCAGACGAATTTGTAACGAAATATACAACAAGAAGAAACTACGGACTATAACTGCACAATATGAATTTAAGGAAGACAGCAACGTATACATTAATGATAGCCTAACACAGCGAAGGGGAAAATTATTTGGTGAAACAAAGGCCTGGCGGAAGCTAAAATTATTTATTTTGTTTTGCATATTCTTGTCTGTAACACCATTCATACGTTTCTATGAAGTCTCAAATCTTTTCTAGTTTTTTTTCTAGACTATACTGCATTAATACGGTAATAATCAATTATTGATTAGCAATTGATAATTAAAATTTGTTCAGAATTACGCCATACTCTCTTGATTGTAGGAAATATTGTATGAAATATGGAAAGGGTATGAGGTGTTGAAGCGTACATACGTCGATTGACTATAATATTATTGGCCACGAATTAAAGCTTGATACGATAAAGCTTCAGTTAACAAAAAGATAATGGTAATTGACATTATATATCAAAACAAATATTACTGATCTGAATAAATTTGAAGTAGCCATATGAGAGTGCCAACTCAAACTTAATGTAAAATGTGTTCTATAAATCATTATATAACCGACAATGCAAATCTTTAGACTATTCTTTACAACATCAGACACGTGTATCTACTCATGTAGCTAGCACAATTATTGACCATATTTATTCTAATATTTCAGATCTTTTCCCAATATATGCAATATTTCAAATATGTTCTACCTGGCCGCTAGGCATAAAGGGAAAGCTTTTTGTAGAGAACATTTTGATTTAGATAAATTTAATGAACCTATCATTTGATGATATGCACATGTGTGATGTATCTTCGCAATAAAGGGAAATGTGTAACAAACATGTACCATAAAGTTCTAGGAAATGAATTATAACATTTAATAAACGAGTTACAAAACCGTGGATTACATCAGCAATAAAAATGTCTATTAAAACGAGACAAAACATAAATTATATAAAAAATATTGTGTTACCCAAATATGACCAATAAAAACAGAATATAGAAATTTATTCACAACTATACTATAAATGCTACTATGCAAAACAGTTCTCTAAATACCAGAGTGATTCAGGTAAAACGTGGTGAATTGTCAACGAATTGATTGGTAATAAAAAGGTTCTAGTCCTAGAGAAATCACTAAGGTCTTCAACAGTTATTTTATAAATATTGAATGTAACCCAACTTCAAAAATTGGCAATACAACCTCCACATATAGTGATTATATACGTGGCCTCGATACGTATTCCTTTTTACTGACTACCACAACAAATGGCTATGCTATTAAAAACGAATCCCTTAAACCACCAGGTTATGGCCATATACAACTATGTAATGAATCCAAACTTGTTAACGCTTATCCGCCATAGACCAATTAACACGTGTAAATGTTCACATATAGAATTTTAATTAAAAGCGCTTATAATTACAGTTAGTGTAATTTTGGGTTCTGCAGGACTAGCCATTAAGCTATATCAGATCATAATTACTCATTCTTTTTGTGGTGTAAATATTGTAAAAAAAATCGAGTTTGAGTTGAAAATAAAGCGACATTATGACCATTATACAGCCATTGTAGATTTCATTTTAAATCTTGATTTGAATATTATTTGTGTACGTTGATATTTGCATTTTACCTCTTAAACTAGTTTGTAATTACGCGTTGTTATCTTACCTGGACAGCAGTATCTGACTTTATAGTCAAGACAGGTATTATCAGGTTGATCTTTTGTTTCACAAACAAATCCCAGAGTAGGTGAATATTGTGAGAATGTTTCGCCAGTAGTCAAAGCTGGAATACCATCCAGGGTCTGCACTTGTATAGCAGAAGGGTCAGAACACATTGCATCTCCAAAATAACTTATGGCAAGGAATGTAGTTTCCCAATCACCAGTATCGCTAGGGTCATCCCTATCTAACCATTCAGTCCAATAACCATCGTTACACACTGTGTATATAAATGCGAGTTAATGGATTTCCATATCTTGGAAAACTTTTTGTCACAAAGATCAGATGAAAATAAAGCAACATTATGACGAAGCTATATAAAGAAATTGTATATTTTATTTTGAATCTTGATTTGAATATTATTTGTGTACGTTGATATTTGCATTTTACCTCTTAAACTAGTTTGTAATTACGCGTTGTTATCTTACCTGGACAGCAGTATCTGACTTCATAGTCAAGGCAGGTCTTATAAGGTTGATTTTTCATTTCGCATACAAATCCCTCGGAAACAGAATACCGGGAGAATATTTCACCAGTATTTGAGGCTGGTGTACCATCTAGAGTCTGTACTTGTATATCAGAAGGGTCAGAACACATTTTGTCTCCAAAATAACTTATGGCAAGTGATGTAGTCTCCCAATCACCAGTACCGCTAGGGTCATCTCTATCAAACCATTCAGTCCAATAACCATTGTAACACCCTGCGTGTATAATTATAAATTACCAGGCCATGAATGCAGGCCATGAATGCATACAAAGTCAATTGCACATTCACAACACAAGTGGTTTGTTTGTGATTTGTTTCATTCAATGGTACGATTATGTTTCCGAGAGCACATTAGGTTTCTTATGTAATGTCTTCAGCACATGAAAACTTATTTGCGTATGTTGGATTTAACTCACCAGTGACAGCAGTTACAGATCGTAGTAAATGGGTTTGCTGGCATGTTGAAAAAAAACACGAATTAACATGATTAACTGAAGACTGAACACGCGTCATGGGCACATATCATTAACAATATTGAAATTTACTTAAAATACAATTGAGTAGGGTTGAACTGAAAACAAAACGAAGTATATTTACTTTTTTTAATATACTGCCAGGAGGGCTTATACTAAAGTGTTTTAGCAAACGTTGATTACATTAGTTGGCTTGTTTTTATATACATCTTTTTTATCTCTTACCCAGAGGAAAGTGTAATACAACATAGTAACCCAGGTAATACTAATGATGTGGCGACTAGGAATGTTTGTTAGGAAGATATTGTATCATAAAATACTAACTATTTGCTATTTGATTTATAATTATAACTGGAACTAAATAACCTATGAATATCAGGTTCATGTAAAATAAGTGAATAATAAAAACGCTGATGGATGGTGAAATGTTTCAGAATCTTACACAAATTATGGCCGCGTAGACCACAAGTAAACCGGTTAACTTCATGTTGCAGAAACCTGGAATAGAAAAAATAAATATTATTTTATAAAAACAACTATCAACATCAAAATTATATATTGACATAGCGTATTTTCAGATAATAAAAATGTGTACGTACATAACACTGACGTGTGGTTTAGGTAAGTAAGCACTGTATTGTGAAGAATCAAACAATAGTAAATAAACAAGTAACCTGTAGAATGCTGTGTGGGTCATATTTTTATATTGATTTTTGTTGCATTTGCAGCAAATAGTTACCAAACAATGAGAAATCTATAGGATTGAATATACCCCACAGCTGGCTTCACGTGCATAGTTCAAGACTGCCCAACCGGTGCTTACACCAGGTTTTAGTTACAGCACCTAGACCGTCTGTGGTTACAACTTCATGTTCCGAGTAATCGCAAGAAATTGACATGACAATAGAAATTCATGAAAGACTGGCACTCCCATGCAATTAACAGCAAGTGAAATTCCTGGGATTGAAACATATTTTGAAGTCACTGATGTAGGCAACGAATAACTGCAAGTTGACATAAAGACGAGGTAGTTTATTTAATCAGTGCTCAACTAGATTATAATTAATTTGTTTATTTAAATTTCTCCTGAAGTCAAATAGAATACACTGGTGAAACACGGTAGTAACCGTGGGTGAAAGGATGTTTTGGGGTGTAGTTTACATTGTATATGGAGTGGTAGGGTCGGGTGTAATGTGTTCATTTCCAACTATTATGAAGTCACGTAGAATTTCACTTAATTTATTTTTGCTGACATGTTTTCAAGCATTACATATGAATCCAATTTTCACTGCTGTGTCTCAATAGAGTATGAGGGAAATGGAATTTTCACTGAAATTTATTTCAGGGGAAAAATGTTTTTAGTGATAATGAAGTATTATGACAGAACCCCATACCCTCGCCGTGGCTTTCAATGCATATGGAAGTTATTTTCACGAGTGATGCGGTGTATCCTGCTGCCGTACTTTCACGAGCGAAGCCACGGGGAG